GGGGGGGGTTGGGGGGGGTTCTTTCACCACTGGGTTCTGTTTCATGCCTCATCAGCGGATCGTCATGTTTGAAACGTTTCCTTATTGACCTACACGAGGACGGAGGAGACTTCACAGCATAGAGTTTCAGCCCTGCGATCGCACGGACGCTCCGTGTCTCTGAATCAGCAGCACCGCGGTGCCTCCGGTGGTCACCTTGGAGCCCTGCGTCTGTGTGTGTGTGTGTGTGTTCACCCACTGATTCAGACTCTGTGGAACCAGACGTGTCTTTGGTCTTAATGTAAAACAAACATCAACACCGGTTCACCGGAATGAAGTAGTTGAAGAGAAAAAAAAAGAAAAAAGAGTTTTTACGTTTTACATTTTATTTTCTAACACTGGTGCTCTGTCCTCCATGTGACCTCTGTGACCTCTATATGATTGTCCTTTAGTTTTGGCCAAAAAAGATAAAAGTAAAAAAAGAACATGTCCATAAAATGGAGGATTTTTTTTTGTTTTGTTTTTTACTCCTTGTGTTTCATCATCTGCTGATGACCTCATAATTCCGCTGTGATCACGGTGGTCTGTGTATGATGTAGTTTGAGGTCCGGTCTGGTCCGGGGAGGTCAGTGTCAGGTTTGTTGACGTTGTTGGAACAGAAACATTTTGATTCTGTTCAGAAATCGATCATAAATCAATCGATTCAATGAGTTGGTGCTGGACCTGGAACCACGCTGCTCCTAGTGGTCGCAGTCTGCCATCGCTGGTCTCCTTTTTTTTGGTTTGCTTCCCACTGCAGAGTCAGAGGCGGGTTCAGAGTCCACTGCTGCCCCGCTCTGCCACAGAGTCTAGACAGTCTGTAGTCCCAGGTCTGGAATCTGTGCGGATAAAATAACCAGTTCTCTCAACACACTGGACGTCACATGACCCCTCACTCTAATTACCCCCAGTGTTGGGGTCAGACTGGCTGTTGGACCTGCTGCCGCCGGGCCAATCACAAGCCAGGATACTGAGGTGTCACATTTCTCTCTCTCTCTCTGTCTCTCTCTCTCTCAGTTTGGACCAACGTGGAGCCGCGCTCGGTGCCAGTCTTCCCCTGGCATTCGCTCATCCCTTTCCTGGAGCCCAGCCATTTAGGAGCCGTGTCTCAGCCCAGTGATGGACAGCAGCTGGTCAACCAGAGCAAAGGTAACAAACAAACAAACAACAAAACAAACAACAAAACAAACAACGACGACGACATTTCTCTTTTTCTTCTTCTCCTCCTGTTCCTCCAGAATGTCCTCCAGCTTTATTTACACACTCTACATCTACACACTCTACATCTACACACTCTACATCTACACCAGGTGTGGGCAAACTTTTTGTCTCGTGGGCCACAATTGGTCCTAAACTTGACCAGGGGGGCGGGGTCAGGAGCAGAGAGCTGGAGCTAAGATAAATGACAGATGAAAAGTCACGCATAAAGGCTAAAATGCTAAAATGCTTTTATCATTTTCTACGCCATCTATTGGGGAAATGTGTGTATTGCAGGGAAAAGGCAGAAGTAAAATGATAATATAGATAAATTATATAATTTGGAAAAGTTTGGCCGGCCCAGATTAAATAGATAAACGGGCCGCATCCGGCCCGCGGGCCTTAGTTTGCCCATGTCTGATCTACACACTCTACATCTACACACTCTACATCTAGGCCCCGCAGCGTCACATGACCACAGCGCGCTGCCAAACACGCCGTCGTACAAATGTTGTTTGGACAAACCCAGTTGCCGACTCGTTGTTTGCCAAAACACTTAGGACTGAAGTGCAGATCAGCACAGTTGGTGTTCACACTATATACAGTCGCAGTGACATTGTTGATGACACTGACTGTGGCTGAGAACTCACTCTGAGGAAGACGCTTTCACACTGACTGATTTTAGATCTAAAAAAAAAAAATAATAATCCACAGATCCTTTCTGCCAAAACATTCTGACATCGGAGTCCAAAAATATTTATTTACAAAAATGATAGAAATGTTTTTATAGTTTATTTTGAAGTTAGTTTTATTTAAAACCAAGATGGAACTATCTGGACGTCTGGACTGAGTGACCACTGACCACTGACCACTGACCAGGTTTTATAACCTGTGCTTGAAAAAAAAGTCTTTAAAATGTTGTGATTACTGTCTGTGAAGTTATTATTTTTTTAATCTCAAAAATAATTAAAATAAATTTTGTGAAATGTTTTGATGAAAAGATAAAGATATAAAATGAGACTCTGTGGGTCGAGAACTGGACCTGCTCCAAAATGACCTCGGAAATATTTATGTTTGACCGGAGAAATATTTGAGCCGCAGAAAAGTTAATTTAAAAAAAAAAAAACCCAACGAGGTTCTGAACACGCTCTTCATCTGAACATGGTTTCTGTCCAGAGCCTCGATGTGGCGTGGCCCTGGTGAGTGACGCTCGTACCGGTCCTCCTGACCTGGAGCGGGGATCGCCGTCCTGCCCTCCGCCGACCAATGACAATCCTTCTACAGACAGAGGCGGAGCCGACAGCGAGACCGAGAGTGACCCGGACGACCCGTGAGTAAAACATATTTTTAAAAACGTCTTTTTTCGTCGTTGAGGTTTTTCTTGTATTATTATATTTTATTTTTTATTTTTTTTATTTTTATTATGGGTTGTTTTTTTAAATTATTTATTTACTAAAAGAAACAGTACCAGGAGCAACTCACCATCAGGAACCAGGAACTGCAAACTAACAGGAAACTGAGAATTAAACAGGAAGTTATGAAAGGCCAAATGATGACATTAATAAAGTTAATAAAATCAAGACATAAATATCAGGAGGAGGAACGGGGCCAGAGATCAGAGAAAAAAAAATAAAATAATAATAATAATGATAATGATACAGTTTCCTGTCAGAGTTTGATCAGTTCTATAGACATCGACTGAGGCTCATTTAAAACCGAGACTAAGTTAGAATTTAGTCCAATGACTGTGCCTCAGTGAAGGCCGTGGGTTGAGGGTTCAGTTCCAGGAATCTGGTACTTTTCCCTGTGAACTCCCTGATGTTTGGATTGGTGTAAACGTGGTGGTAATTTCAGTTCCTTTGAGGTCAAACCCATGAACTTCATCAAGTATAAAAAGAAAAAAGAAAAGTCTAGTTCTGATCCTCACACACACACACACACACACACAGAGTTGTCACGTCTGGTTTCCCTCCCCGCTCTGTGAGTGTGTGACTCAGTCCGCAGCAGATAGTAACTCTGGATTCTGCAGTTTGTCTGCGTCCTCTCAGGAACTCTCAGGGACGCTTCATTTAGATCCGGCGCTGGAGACGAGACGAGCAAACAACGAGCCGGCAACTTTTTCTACCAGCCCTCGGCGCGCGCGTGTGTGTGTGTGTGTGTGTGTGCGTCTGAAGAACCTTGCACTCAGGCTGTGTTCTGTGCGTCTGCCTCTGGTTACGGCTCTCTCACAGTGACTCAGACGTGGCTGTCTGGCTCGTAGCGTGGTTCTGAATGTTTCAGGGTCACTGTATTCACAAAGGCCGTGGAAACAAGCGCTCCGGCGGTCCATTAACGCTGCGCCGCTTACACCTGTTTGTCTGCTCGACGCCGACGTCTCTCCACACAGTCTGACGCCATTCAAAACAAGGTCCACGCGTTTGAAAAGACCGGAGCTCGGGCTTTTATGACACCTGTCTGCCTGTGGCATCAACAACAACAGACCAACAGACCTGTCTGTTGGTCTGTTTGTCTGTTTGTCTGTTCCACTGATTGGCCCAAACTCTCAGTCAATAATCAATAACAGCAGTTTGTTGTTTGTTTAAAAAAAAATTGGTTTTAAAGAAACTCAATATATCGTTATAGTATCGCAATATATTGTATCGTTCCCCCGTATTGCGATTCGTGTCGTATCGCTAGTTTATGAATGTGATAAAGTGGTAAAATAGCAGCAGAAATAAACATGTCCTTCAGGAAAAACCTGACTTTTATTATCAAGCAGAAACATTTTTATAAGATAAAATTATATTTAAAAAAAAGACAAAAACCTTAATAACAGAAAATGACTTCAGGAAGTTAATTGTTTCGTACTAACGTCAGTGGATGTGATCAAGACGAGGCCTGGGAATTCTGGGAGAATTTTTGAAGCAATAGAAAAGTTTGGACGAGCGCGGAGTGGAAACTGGTTCTACCTGGTTTGATAAAAGATCAGGATTGAAAAGTATCAAACATTAGGATTTACTTCTGGGACTTCACTCTGCAAATGGTCAGAAGTTGTGAAAAAAAAACACGAGATGTTCGAGAAGACAAGGAACAGGGAGGAGTCGAGGTCAGAGGTCCAGAACAGAACTGTTGACAGCAGGGGGAGCAGTTCATGGAGCAGGAGTCTTCTTTGTCAGTTTGGTTTTACTAAGTCATATTTATTTATGAAAACCCACGTTGTTTTATTTCTGATGTAAATGATGGTTTGACTCACAGAGAAAAGTTAAGAAAATGTTTGTGAGACAGCAGCAGTTTCCTGTCGAAGTCAAAGTCAAACTGTGTCGATAACAACAGCAGTTAAAAAGACAGGAGAAGAAGAAACGGTGAAACCTTGACCCGTACGTTTGAACCACTCTGTGAATCTGAGCTCTGTTTTTTTTTTATCTGAAGTTTTTCTGACACCACGCTGTCGTCATCTGGGTTTCACTTCTTCTCTTTCTCTCTCCTCTGTGTGACAACAGTTTCTCTCCGGGCGTGGCCAACGACGCAGCGCCATCTACCGTCCCCATCAAGAGACGCACACAGTCCCTCAGCGCCCTGCCCAACTGCGGAGACAGGAAGGTCAGTGCAGCGTGCAGCCCAGCAGGCCGTAACGCAGCGGAAAAGAAACGTTGAAACCTGAACCTCCAGAGCAGGACTGCTCAGATATCTGGACTCTGTTTTCATTGTTTTCTTCTTCTTCTTCTTCTCTCTAACCAGAGGGAGAAGGACCACATCCGCCGCCCCATGAACGCCTTCATGATCTTCAGCAAACGCCACCGGGCCCTGGTGCACCAGCGACACCCGAACCAGGACAACAGGACAGTCAGCAAGATCCTCGGGGAGTGGTGGTACGCACTGGGGCCCAACGAGAAGCAGCAGTACCACGATCTGGCCTTCCAGGTGCCGGTTCACTTCCTGACACAACACTGATGAGTCTTAGAGTTACACTGTGTATCGGATATAAAAGGTGACGGGATGTGACCTTAAGAATTAATTAACTGATTACAATAATACTGTCTGCAGTATAAATGACTACAAATGAGAACAAGGAATTCAATCATCTAATTTAGCCAGAACAACATTACAACACTACAACAGTCCTGGTACAAATGCTAAAGCTAACATTAGCTACAACAGTCCTGGTACTGACACCAGAGCTAACGTTAGCTACATCAGTCCTGGTACAGACACCAGAGCTAACGTTAGCTACATCAGTCCTGGTACAGACACCAGAGCTAACGTTAGCTACAACAGTCCTGGTACAGACACCAGAGCTAACGTTAGCTACAACAGTCCTGGTACAGACACCAGAGCTAACGTTAGCTACAACAGTCCTGGTACAGAACAGGAAGTACGGAGGTCTCTGACTCCTCCTGTCTGTTCTCCTCCAGGTGAAGGAGGCCCACTTCAGAGCCCATCCAGACTGGAAGTGGTGCAACAAGGACCGCAGGAAGTCGCTGTCCGAGGGTCGCGGGACCCCAAAGGAACAGAGGGAGAGGAGCATGTCTGAAAGCATAGGTTTGATTTTGATTGATTTTACCAAACCAAACGTCAGAAGGTCGTTCTGTCCATCTGTCGTCTCAAGTCTTTTCACTTTTATCTCCAGATTCTCTCTCAGAGTCCCAGACCCCCGACGGTAGAGGAGGAGGTTCAAGCCTGTCAGGAGGACCGGAGCCTCGAGGTGGGCCGTTTGCCGGCCAGCAGCCTCGTCCCAGGGCCTACTCCCAGAGTGCCGTGCACATCCTGGAGCAGAGGGAGAGAGACCTGGAGAAGGTGAGGGCGTCGGGCAGAAAACAGACGTCAGGAGTCTGGACAACGGAGCTGAGGGTTTGACCGTACAGTTAGAGGAAGTTCTGAGCGCCGCCTACAGTTAACGTGATGAGAGTTTAGATGCTGAAGGACACCGGCTACAGTGGCTCCAGAACAGATAGTGAACAGTTGTTTGTGTGTCTGGTTGTGTCCACCCACACACTCGGCGGACGTGTGTCCTTCACGCTGCACAGTGTTATTAGCTAAACCTCCTCAGCTGAACACTGCTAATAAGTGTGTTCTCTGTGTGAGGGCGGTCGGAGCTGCTGCTGCTGCTGCTGCTGCTGCTGCTGCTGCTGCTGCTGCTGAAACCTCTGCGGCAGCCGAGCCTCCGACTTCAAAGGTTTCACTTTCTGCTTTTTCAAAGCTTTTGAAGGTGTGAAACTGTGAACTGTGGCGTTCTTGCAGCTCTTGCTTCTAATCACGGTGGAGACAGCCGGCGCGTCAGCTCTTCTGTTTGAAGACGTTTGTTTAACGCCGGTGGCGAAGCCCACGACGCGCAGTACGCGGGCTTTGATGGTAGCTGCGCAACTGATGTGTTCGACGCTCGGCTCTGGAGTCAGTGATACAACCTAAAACAACAGCGTTTTTCACCTGCACCGGCTGTTTGGATACAGTCTCCGTGTTGTTTGTTAAACATGGACGTGTTGATGTCACACCGTGAACCCGTTTACACGGCGCCGACGCCGTACGACTACAGTAGCCTCCGGATACGGACCGTTTACATGAATACGGTGCAAACGAAAATCTGTGTCTAAGCCGAGTTGTAGAATCACTGTAGTACATGTGCCAGGCCTGTATGTGGCGCTGTGTCGACCACACTCTAACTTGCTAGAACTTGAACCGGGAGTTTGGAAAATGTGTATGAAACTGGCAAACTGTAAACAAACCCCGAAAAGGAAACAGGAAAAGGTTGCGTTGGCTAACTGTTGCTCACGAAATAGCTGAATAATCTTCTTTAGCTAGGTCAGAAGGGGGGGTGGAGAGGGGCTGACCAATCATCCCAATCACAGATCCTGCTAGCCTTTAGTTCACACTCGCCGACCGTAGCTTCAACAGTGAGGAATGTTAAAATGTCCGCCCTGTGTCGTCACTGTGTCTCCAGGGCGACGAGGCGAGTGTGTTTGGAACCCGGCCCCCGCCGCAGCCTACGTACCACGGTGGAGCCAACGACGAC